TGGTGGTGGTCTATTCACAGATCTATCCTGCTACCCTGTCAACAGCTTGGCCCTACAGTTTCCTTCGTGGGTCCTTCTTCCTCATCCTGCCCCTTGCCTGGGTGTTTAATAAATGTTCTCCAGAAGGTTTCACTTTATATGTCACTAAGTTCAACTACAACACGTCCAAATTCTAACGTTTTCTCCACCAAAGCAGCCCCCTTTCTCAACTGCCGCATCTATGTCAGTAACTTTCTCCAAGTCATCATGACTCACAGTTATTTTTGACTTATCTGCTGTTTAACCCCCAAGCCCTCATTATCAAGATTTCTCCACTTACACCTTAAAAGGTGTCATATTTGTGAGCAAATAATCCCAACAGACAATTCACACCACAAGCAATACGGATATTTAACACATGAAAAATGTTTGAACTGGAATGATCAAAGGAACAAAATTAAATAATGGGTACTATTTACACCTATTTCCTTAGGAAAAGAAAATTTTCAATGATGGCAAAATTTCGAGGAGCCTGTTAGCCTCATATATTTCTAAGGGAATTGTAAAATGCCTTCTTGGAAAAGCAGTTTGGTGAAATCTCTTAAAATCCCTAAAAATGTTCATATTCTTTAAACTAGTAACCTAAATCCAGATAGATATTTTTAATGAGATGACGCAAAACGATAAAAAGGCTATATCTATAGCTGTTTCTGCAGCACTACTTTATAATAACAAGAAACTGGAAACAATCTAATTATCCAACAATCTTGGAATAATTAAACAAATTAAAACACATTAAGCTGGTGAAATATTATACAACCATTAAAATGTCACTATTAAGGAAGCCTGCATAGCAACATAAAAAAGTGTTTACCAAGTAGTGCTTAGTGGGAGGCTGATCAAAATACTACATAGCTGTTATGACCATGAAAAAATAATTTCTGAACCTATAGATAAAGCTGTTAGGGATCTGAAAATAATCATCGTACTAAGATAGTAGGGATAGGCTACTTTTTCTTCTGTTGTTGTTTTGTTTTGTTTGTTTGTTTGAGGGGGGTACATGGGATCAAACTCAGGACTGTGCCCTTGTGAGGCAGGTGGTGGAACCACTAAGCTAAATCCCCAGCCCTTCTTCTGTTTTTAATTTTCTGTAATGTTGTTTTCACAACAAACACTTTTCCTCCCAAAATATCACGTATACTTATCTATCACTTCCCCTTCTTTTCTATTGCACTTCTACCTCCCCAGTCCAGACCACACTCTTTCATACCTAGTCCATGCCTAAAGTGGTCTCCTTCCAGCCCATTCAGTGTGTGGATGCTGCCAAGTTACCTAAAGTGCCAAAGCACTTAACTGATCAGTATCTATACTAATGTAAAAGTTATACATATTCACTGGGTTTCATGTAATGTCAACACATGTATGTATACACTGTATAATGTTTAAATCAAGGCACTATATCTATCTCTTCAAATATTTATCATTTCTTTATGGTGAAAATTTGGAAAATTCTTTCTTCTAGCTTTTTGAAATGTACAGTTCATTATTGCTGCCTATAGCCACCATACTGTGTAATACTAGCCCAGAGCTTCTTCTATCAAATTATAATTTAGTACCCACTGCTGATTGGTAATTTTTAGCTGTTTCCATGTTTCCATGTTTAGCTAGTTTTCGAGGTCTACCTATTTTGTACCATGGCTTCACTAAACACCTTCTTTGTCTACTGTTAACTGCTTTTGGTACTCCTGCTCCTCCTCCTCACATCTCAATTAACATTTACTGAGGATTGGGCTGTGGACTTAGCTCAGTGGTTCCGTGCCTGCCTCAAAAGCACAAGAGTCTGAGTTCAATCCCTGGTAACAAAAAAACAAAACAAAACAAACAAACAAAAAACCATTTACTGAGGGTTTATGGTGTCGGGTTTTATTTTCAAGGGATAATATACATTAACTCATTTAATCCTCACAATCTACCCCAAGTTACAAATGAGGAGAGAGCTAGAGAGAGAGAGAGAGACAGAGAGAGAGAGAGGGAGAGAGAGATGAAAAGGGGTGGTAGGGAGTAGGGAGGTACTTGTCAACCCCACAGTGATTAGTGAATAGAAGAACCTTGTTTCGAATTCACAGGATTAACTCCAAGGCACCCGCATTTAACCAGTAGGGTGGATTCCTCCAACATACCCTACTTAGTTACCTGTCTAGGAAGGCCAGTAACTCCCAACATTCAGTTTTCCTACCCTCCAATGAACTTACACAACCCACAAGAATACTTGTCATTTATTGGTCCCTTACCATGTGCCAGGTACTTGTTTAAACTCTGTACTTGACAGAGTATTATTTTCTGCTAACCTGTGTAAGTAAAAGCTGGGTTTAAATTTGGGCTTCTCTACTAGCTGTAAGGCCTTGAGTAAATTACTTAGCCTCTCCAAAGCTCAGATTCCAGTGGTGAGCCCAGGACCAGCTGCATCAGGACCACCCAAGGAGCTTGTCAGAAATGCAAATTTTGAACCCCACTACACATACCTACTGAATCAGATTCCCTGGCTGTGAAGTCCAACTAACTCTCAAGGTGTTTCAACAAGCTCTCCTGGTGTTTTTGTTGAGCACTTGATTCTGAGACCTATTGCCCTAATAATACCTACTTGCAGAATTGGTGGGAAGATAAAACATAACCTAATATGCATAACAAGGTTCAGGACACATAAGTTGTTTCAGAAGTGGCAGTGTATCGGTCCTGCTGTTGAAGTGTGTATGTGTTATCCTTCCCTGCTCATAGTGTGGGCAAGCAGTGCTTCTTACTACTTTTTTGCTAATACCTCCCTCATGGTACAGGAAAAGATAGTATATACGTTAGATTTTTAATAACCCTTACTTCGCTGACCAGTCTGTCACAGAACCACTTCCAAGAAGGGCTGTAGTATAGTGTAGTGTCTCTGAAGCTGGACCACCTAGGTCTAGTTCGTACCAGCTGTGGACTTTTAGGTAAATAAATGTATGCCACAGTCTCTTCTTTTTGTCAAACGGAGAGAAAATAGTACAAAGCCCATAAGTCATAGTGATAAATAACTCCACATAAAATGCTTTGAATAGTGCCTGGTACAGAGAACTGAGCTCCATAAATGTTAGTGACCACTCTTGTTCTTGTGTCTTTCTACTTATTCGTGAAGAGGTTCTTTTTCTTCATTTGACAGGCAAATGAGAAATATCTCTGTGCGTCAAGCACAGAGAATCAGACTATGTCCAAGATGTGGTCTCCTCTCTTGAAGGTCTTGATCTAATGTAGGAAATTTAGCAGGCATGTTAGACTGGAGTGATTTTTCCAAGGACATAGTGCAAGTCAGTCCAGAACTGGGGAATCAAGACTACTCATAAAATCACTACCCAAGCTGTAGACTTCTGAGACATGATGATGAGGGGTTCGTTTGAAGGGTTTCCTTATGAATCCTAATTGAAGCATGTATAATGGGAAAAACATGAATTTTGGAGCCAGGCAAACCTGTGTCTAAAATCTAGTTCTATCACTTGTATGCTGTGTGACTTCAGCTAAGTTATATAACCTCTCTGGATCTCACCTACAAAATGGGTATCAAAATGAATTGTGAAGAATAAATGAGATTTTCAGGATAGAAAGATCCAGCTCCAGCCTAATAACTAGCACTTAGAAGATGATCCACGAATATAGGTTTCCATCCCTTGTCATTACCAACCAGAAAGAAATTTCCCAGGTTTGGAGTCAGAGAAAAGCAAGAAAAATTCCCAACTATGCTGTCAAATCACAAGGGATAATGTAGACAGACATCCTAGAAAGAACCCTGAATGCTTCAGGATCCAGGAAACCCAGGTTCTAGTCCTCTCTCTTGGTATCTTCACCATGGAGAACAAAGACACAATTTAGAGCCATCTTCCTTCTCCCCTCATTTAATCCAGAGACTGCATAAAGAATCAATATAATTTAGGGGCCTCTTGTGTCATTTGGGCCGAAAAAAATGGACTTAAAGATTATACCAGAGAATCCATTAAAAAAATCCAGCCAGGCTGATACAGAGAAGCCCAGAAGAAGAATGTAACCCTCTGTGCATCATGGCCACCTAGGGAAGTAGCTTAAGACACCGCATCTCTAGAGGACATGAGTTATGCTGCCATGATCTCCATGTCACAGGGATAGATTCTCCACCCTGCATGGTTTTTTTTTCCTTAAGGGCTATGCCCAAGAAGCTCTTTTCTCTATTCCAAGCTACATGACATTTATAAAAATGTCCTTGTCTGTCACGAGAAGTTGTCATCATGGTCTGCCCTACAGGCTTTTTTTTTTTTTTTTTTTTTTTTTTTTTTTTTTTTTTTTTTTTTTTTTTTTTTTTTTTTTTTTTTTTTTTTTTTTGCAATAGTTCACTGGGGATTAAAAGCAGGTCCTTCACACTGAGCTAAATCCCCAGCCTTTTTTAAAAATTTGAGACAGGGTCTCACTAAGTCACTAAGTTGCCTGGGCAGTGCTCAAACTTGTGGTTCTGTCTCAGCCTCCCCGAGTGGTGGGATTGTCCCCCGATTTTAAATAAGCAGACCTTAAGCACTCAACAAACAGTATTAAAAGGAAGGTGGCAGTTATCTTCAACGACTCAGGCAAAGGCACAGCAGTAGCTAGAGAGTACTCCTTCCTTTCTACAAAGTCCAACTGCCCCATGGCCACTGGGAAGGGAGGCGCAGCTTATGTTTTCTCATTTCCTTTTCACACAATCTGGCCCCATATTACCTTTGACCAGTGCAGGGCTGTCTCAGGCCTCTAAACTGATGGGTACAATGTCCCACAATACTGCCTAACTAGTGTGTGTTTCAAAATGTAGCAATCAGTTGGGTCTCTACCCGATCGTCTAGGAGGCAGGCTGGATTCCACCTGTGGCACCAAGTCCTTGGTATGGATACCAGACCAGTTTCCTAAAAGGAAACTAAGTCAACTGAAGATCTTAATAATTTCCATAGAAGCCTCAGAGGCACCGACTTACCCCAACTCCCTGAGACATCACTTACCTCCCTGACTGGCCACTCTTCCTGTTTCCTGTTATTGGTTTCCATTTGTCTTCAGGAAATTCCTGCAAAGCAAAGTTCTAATAAGTTAGGGAGCTCTGAACAACCAGGTATCCAGACGGTTTCAGATATGCCAATCAGGAGCCTGTCCCTGGCCTGTCCTCAAGCTGATACCGTCTACTCTCCTGGGCAGGCCACAGAGATGTGCACCAGGAAGGCTACCTTTTTTCCAGGAGGCCTGCTATGCTGCTGCAGGCAAGCAGAGACCCAGAAGCCCTGGACACTGGTGGTCTAGAAAGGCTATATTTCGCATTTTCTCTGTTCACCTCCCAAGCTACGTTCAAAACTAGTTTAACAGGTTTGCTATTTGTTCTGGCTCTTGCTTGCATTAAAGGACAAGGGAAGGAGGTCTTTTTGTTTGTTCTAGTGGGTGAACCTGCTCATTCCTCCTACCTCTGCCTGCCCATACAGAAAGCATCATCTTAGAAGCTCTGGCCTTGGGGAGTGGGGGTCATGGGCAAAGGCTCCTACTGCAGCAATCCGCTCCCAGGGTAGGCAGAGGGAGAGGAATAGCAAGCCTGCCTGCACACTCCTGCCCCACAGCGATTCTTCCTCTGCCCACATATGCTGGCAGTGGTTAATGTGGTCTCTTCTTTGGGGAATACAAATACCAGATGTCATGATGTCCATACCACATGAGCAGACTCTTCATTTTGGTCATCTTTTCCTTAAGGGCTATGCCCAACCAGCACTTTTCCTTCCAGGCCAAGCCATACGTGCCATTTATAAAAATGTCCCCGCCTTCCTGTTCAAGCTCTAAACTGAATGAAAAATTTCCTTCCAAATTCTTCCTGATTTTCTACCCATCACCCTCTACCTAGAGACTCAGAGCTTAGCCCAAAAAGAATGCATAGTTTTCCCTAAACCTCACTGATCTCGCAAAGTCCGTCTCTTCAGTGTTGTTACATTAGTTCCACTCAAGGTTTTATTACCTTTACCCAAGTAGCAACTTTTGGGGAGCACTTGGTGAAGGAGAATGAACATAGGTCTTTGGTGTCAGTCATACTAGCTAAGACACTTACTGGTTATTTGTTGTTGTTGTTTTACATATTATGTTGCATGATACTGAGGACTGAACCCAGAGCCTTTTCACTGAGCTGCATCCTCAGCCCTTTTAAAAATTTTTTAAAAATTTGTTACTACACGTTTGCAGTACATAATGTTTACACTCCTATGGATTTGTTACATGTACACAGCGCATCGTAATTCATCCCTTTTCCCTTCCCTTCCCCCTCTCTTCACCACTGGATCCCTTTCCCATTTGAAAAAGATCAATCTCCCTACTTCCCATTATCTATCTTTTATTTTGCTTTTGATTTATATTTTGGAGACAGGCTCTCACTAAGTCATCATTTTGCCAAGCCTGGGTTCAAACTTGCATTCCTGCTGCCTCAGCCTCCCCGACTGCCAGTATTATATGAATGTGCTACCATGCCTGGCTAGCTGTGTCATTTGAGAGATCTGTCACCTCCTTGAATGTGGCAAATAAGGATTATGCTATCTGCTCTCGCTGGGTTACGAGTAGTAAGGAACAAATGAAATGCACAAAGAGAGCTCCTTGCACAGTGCTTAGCATAGAGAAGGTTCTGTATGTTAGTAGCCATGGAAAAGGTGAAGTTTATTTCCTGGCTCCAGCTTTCACAGGGCCACAGTAGTCCCCACAAGTGTTTGGGACATCAGAGCAGCTCTAGCCACTTGTACTTCAGATTCTGCCTCAATGGCCCTATGAGATGCCCCTGCCCACAAAGACACCATAACTTGTTTAGCCACAGTGGGAGCCAGGATTTCCTGGCCATGTCCTGTCTAGCCCTGTGGAAGTGCTCAGAAAATAGCAGTGGCCAAACTAAACAATGTCTTCTGCCCACTTCTAACTGCCTCTCCAGATTTCCAGTTTCACTTTGCTTTTTCTCCTGAGCCATTTAGGCGCCTGTAAATTTCCTGTGTCCTTGAACCAAAGAAGCCATTATCCTCATGGCTGGTAGTTGATGGGGATTATTGGGGAACTTGCTGCCCCAGTGGAAGTGATACTACTAGAAAGCATCCTACCACACCGAAAAGGGTCTGAGCTTTGCTAGCAGCTGACGGAGAGGCAGTAGAGCAAAATCGGGTGTTTGGCCTTTATAGCTAGAGGGTAAATCTTCAAAACCTACACCTGCCCGTCAGTAGATGTATGGTCTCAACGTCTCTTTATCTTCGTGTCTCCAGCTAGAAAGCAGAAGATGTGTGGCCATGAGAGAATCTGCTTCTTGACTGCCTGAGAACTCAATGAGTTTACACATGTGGTGCACCTAAAATATGCCTGATACCCAGTGGACAACCAAATGTCAGTTACTGCTGTGGTATCCAAATACTGCCTCTGCTACTTTTAAGTTGTGTGACCACTCTGAGCCTCGGTCTCCCTCACTGTAAACTGAGGTTCCTATTATAATTTATCTCACTCAGTGTAATCATCTGACTGTGTGCAAAAATAACCGGCATGAAATATAGGGGACATGGGTGTGTGCTGATTTCAGTTTCCACAGCACCGGAGAGGAGAACATTAGCTCTTCAACCTTCTCCAGCAGTGGAAGGAACAGGATCTCAGGTATACTTCAGAAAGCCACTGTCACAGATACCAGAACTGTTGTATCTGAATCCATGCTGCAAGCTTCCCGCAGGTCTTGCAGGGTTAAGGTGGAGGGTAAGGTGATGCAGTTCAGTGCTTGCCCTAGCATGTGTGATATGTCTTGGGTTTAATTCCCATTACCAAAAGAGGAAAGGAAGGTAGGAAAGGGTGAAGAGAAAGGCGGGCAGCGGGAGCCTATAACTAAGATCAAATGTAACACTGAATGATTACAAGGCAACTGAGTCTGCTCTTATCACTTCTGAACATTGTACTGGTAGCCCTAGATAGTGCAATGAAGCTCCCCTCTCTCCCAGGAAAGGGCACAAGGAGCAGAAAGAAAAACATAAAATTCTTTCCACTCATAGATGACAAGATTGCTTATGTGCATACCTTTTATAATCTACCAAAAAGCTAGAATTAATCAGTGCATTTGGCAAGGTCACAGGATACCAGGCCAATATACAAAGTTTAATTGTATTTCAGTAATTGCAAAGAATTTTCACTTGACAAAAAGAAAACACTACTTTTATAATAGCATCAAAACATGAAATCTTAAGGATAAGTACATCAAAATATGTGTAAGATTTGTACACTGAAA